GCTGTAATTCAACAACATTTGAAGGGCCACATGCTTCCCGTTAGAGCCACACACAAACCTCATAGAGATTCTTCTAGGTCACTATGGGCCTAGAAATTGTACCAGCAAACTGTTGGCTGAGATGTTTTATGTTATGAAGTGAATAGAAAGACAGGATTCATATCAAAAAGAGAGAAAAAAACAGCTAATACTTGTAAGCATCTACAGACCACGGCTGGAACCTGTGTGTGGAGCCATCCAACCTACCTTTACCACTAAGTGAACTGCAAGTAAATACCATCAATGTTTAACACCACCTTGAGGGGCAAAGTTCTCCTGCAGCCAGTAAAGATACCTATTATACAGAAACCAAGAAAGCACCAAATACAAGATTTGGCCAGGATTTGGAAAATAGCTGGCTACAGTGTGTCAGGTAAGTGTCTGGGGACTACACTGACAAGCATTGGCGATGTGTCAGAAGCCAAAGCCATCGCGCAAAAGAGCAATGTCTGAAAATCATATCAATAGGCTATATAATCCTCACCACAGAAACACAGTTTAGAGAACAACATTCAACTCTAGACAGGCAGGCACCAATATAAACGAGCACAGAGAGTCAAAGGAAATGAAGATCTGAAAGAGAGAATACTTGGGTGGGGGGAGAGGGATCAATTGAAGTATTCCATTTCTAAAATATTGTCATCTCCCTTGAAACAAGAGTGAACAATGCCAGCAGATTATAAAATCTTTGAAGGAATTCCAAAATTTACAGTGAGAACTCATTTTATCTGCTGAGCTAGGTTGAATAAAAAGGATACTGTTATTGTTCCAGAGAAATTTGGAATGAGACACAGACTGAACTCCATTACAATGCTAAGCTACAACATGTACAAATCTAGAGGTTTTCGCTTTTACTCTGCCAAATGAAAAGAAGAAATCAAGAGGTTTTTGTTGTCTGTTAAACAAGAACTGTGCTTAATCTTAACTTCAGTTTAGGATCAGAAAAAACTGTCTAATTTGGCTTGCATCCCTATAGAAGGAGCAGGGAACTATAATGAGGGTGGAGAACATCCTGCCATTCAAAGTGTATTAATCCACAAATTGAATGGCAGGGTGTGGCACCCCGATATCAAAAACATACCCCGTTTCCAAGATGCTTGTAATATAAACCGTACCCTCAAAAATAAGCCCCAGTTAAGTGAAACCCTGCCCTCCACCAGTGTGAAGCAACCAGAAGATGACATTTATTTATTTATTTATTTAATTTATACCCCGCCTATCTGGCCCACCGGACCACTCTAGGCGGCTTCCAAATATAAAATCAAATAATAAAACATAGACAAATACATAATAATCAAACAAGAACAGCAGTAAAAATAAAAAGGAAAAGTAAGAAAAAATCAAGAGTTGGCTGGAGGGAAGGCCTGAATAAACAGCCATGTTTTTAATTGGGTTTTAAAGGTGCCCAGCGTGGGGGCTGTGCGAATCGCCGGAGGGAGATTGTTCCAGAGGTGAGGAGCCACCGCCGAGAAGGCCCGGTTTCGTGTCTTCTCCTTCCGGGCCTCTCTCGGCGTCAGGCTCCTCAGCCTCACCTCCTGACTCGCGCGGGTGATCCGGGTAGACCTTGGTGGGAGGAGGCGTTCTGCCAAATATCGAGTTTTAAATAAATGTACAGTGTTGTACATGAAAAAAATAAAACATACCCTGAAAATAAGCCCTAATGTGTTTTTGGAGCAAAAATTAATATAAGACCCCGTCTTATTTTGGGGGAAACATGGTAGATAGCATTCTCTATCATTGTGTCCCAAGTGACGTTCCACAACAGCTGAAAGCAAAAGTTTTGTTTTTCCTCCCATCCAGCTCAGACAATTCTTGAAAAACCAGAATGAATGCAGAGCCACCTCTGCATGCCGCATTTCCTCTTGACTAGGACGGTCAGCTGCATGGAAAGGAATCTTCTCTGTTTTCTCTGATCAGCAACATGCTTACATTCCCAGCCAGATTCCACTGTTTTGTTGCAAATAATCTTATGACCTCTCCAGTCTCTTTAACTTCAAGCATAAACAGAAACGATGACACTTTAAAGAGTTAGAACAGGGAAGTGAAATAAACTAACTTAGGCGATGGGGAACAAAAGAAACTGAAGCATGGAAGGTGCACAAACACAACATGGGGACACATTAAGAGAAAGGGATAGCCAGACACTGCTGCGCAGTTTCCAAATGTTTAATCACAGAAAGGAAAGAGAACAGAAAAGGTATGCATTTCACATTCAGATAAGTACACACAAGGTTCCCGCTAAGCTGGGAGCATGACTCTGCTTCCCCTTGCATAGCTCTCTTCCTTCTCCATGCAGTGATCGCATTAGGTTCTGGTCGCAACGGAATGCAGTGCATGGGGGGGAGCAGAGTTGCATGCTGGAGAGATGGAGCACTGCCCAGTGGGGCTGAAAATTAGAGGGTACATTGCACACATGGAAAGGAAGAGAGAACTGGCTGGATTCAAACAAAACAAAAGGTGAACATATGGAGCCCTAGAACAATGCAGTGCAATGAACTATGCACTACAGGAGAACCTTGGAGAAATGAGTCATGAATTCCGGGGGATGTCTTGGACAGATTACTTTTATCCTTGACATTTGAAAAATGGCAACATAAGCCATTCACCTGGTATGGATGTCCTATGCCAAGTACAAGATCAGGCCCATATGTGGGAAATGCTGCAGGTGTTGACCATGAAGCTAAGCCTCACTGTAAACACAAATTCATTACTAAGGATATGGAGGTAACAGCAGTAAATACACACCATCAACACTTGACTTGTGGCAATCAACCAAATACTCCTGTCAACCTGCTTGAGCATATGCAGCTAATAAAAACAAAACAGCTGTGGAATCAGAAAGACGTATTTCATTGTGGGCTTTAACAGAGTACAATATAGTTCCTCAGATGGACAGTCCTATTCACTTGTGGTGAACCTATAGGGTAGAACCAATGTCTGTATAGGAATTCAATCATGGAGGAAACAGACCTAAAGATATTCAAGATACAGCGGTTTCACCAGGAAGAACAGCAGGGCATCCAGTCTAAGTATCCAGACTCAGAGAAATATGATCCAGTTGATTTTCAACACAGACATCCTTATTATAAGAAACAGTATGCACTTGATGTGTGACATATTCAGGCTTTTGTTTAAAAAAATTAAAAATTAAGGGCTTCCTGGCCTTTGGAACAGTCTGCCCTCAGAGATCTGTCTGGCTCACTCATTGGGTGTTTTTAAGAGCCAACTTAAGACCTGGCTCTTTAGGCAGGCTTTCTCTCCTGTCATCACTTGATTATTTTTATTTTTCCCCCATCTTAAACCATATTATTGTTGCTTTTTAATTTATTATACTGTTTTTATTCTATTCTATTTTTATTGTTAGCCACCCAGAGTAGACTTGTGTCTAGATGGGTGGGATATAAATTTTATAAATAAATAAAATAATGGCTGAAATCTTGTTGGTTGGCATAATAAATAATAACTACAATAGTGGGGACTTGGTGAGTCAACTTCTGCATAAGTTCCATCGATGTAACAGGTCTACCCCAGCTGCATCTAACTATGCTGTGCAACAGGATTTCTGTCAGTATAAGCTACTATCATATTCCCACTCTACCTGCAAGTAAATCTCAACAAATTTAACATGATTTACTTCATGTTACACTCACGCAGGACTGTGTCACCAGAATTTCTTCTAGGTGCACAGGAAGAGATGTTCCAACTTCTAATCCACACTCATATAGACCTCGATTTCACTAATCTGAGCCTGGCCCTACTTTGGAATCTGCCTGGTTTCTTCAGCCTGTGTTTCTCATGCAAAAAAAAAAAAAAAAAGGAAGCCATTCTCTTACTTCTGGGGAGTTGCAGTTTCGCTGCACTTTAGAGTCTACAGAGGGGGCCTCTGGAAGAACTATGACATCCATGAAAACTTCCTTTTGTGCGGGAAACACAAATTCAGGACAGCCGAGCAGCTGCCAAGGTAGGCCCTAGTCCAGTTGAGCGAAACTGAGGTGTCTACAGGTGTAGCTTTGTGTACTAGAACTCCCAGAATTCTGCCTGGGGAATTCTTGGAGTTGGAGTCCAAAAAGAAAAAAACGGTGTGTCCCTAAAGCTTAGTACACCATGGAGAAAAGCATACTCTCACTCTCACAGGGAAAATGTGACACATCCTGTAAACATTTCAGCTGCCGGGATCACTAAGACATATTTGTAATAGTGATCCAAAATGATTTTCACATATAAATGCGATGGTGACTCAAATGTTTATGGGCGCCTCCTAACACACAAGACAAGTGGAACACATTGGGGTATAGGGACAATTTATAGCTGGTTGCCTACATGAAAATCACTACTGCACAGGAAGTCAGTCACACATAAAGTGGCCCTTCAGTGGTTGCAACTCTAGCCACGGCATATTACTTCCTGAAACAAATCTCAAGTGGTGCTCCTGGCAGGAAAATTCTTCTCTCCACTTGGACACTAACACATATCTTTACCTGTCTGCTCCACTGCATGAGCTGTCTGAAACCAGTCACTTCTGTCCCGCTGCATGGCAAGGCAAACCTAAGTATCCAACATCAAGCCACTCAACCCTTTAATTAAGACCTAATTAAAGGCATTTAAATTATCTTTCTGTTGACTACAGTTAAAGCTACTACTAATCTTGATAAGCTTGTAGAAAAGAAGTCAGAATTCTCCCTATCATTTCACTGAATATTTAGGAGACAAGACAGGGAATATGCTTCTCTATGTAAGGAATGTATACACTGGTCACACAAAAATCTCATGATAGTCCCATCAATACTGGGAACACTTATGTGAACGCTGACAGTTTTAGAACTGGTAAACAAGAAAAGATGACAACTAGTTGTGACTTAATAGCACAAGTCATCTTCTCCCAGCAAAAGGAACGTCTATATACTTCACAAGCCATGCAATTGCTTGGTTCCATTTGTCTTCCAAAGACAGTCACAACTTACCTGTGCCTCTCTTGTTCAGTGCTCTCATATTCTAAAAAGACAATTAGACGGGGGTAGTGGCTGCAGATTTCACCATTCATATTGTGGATCAGACTGTAGCAATAGTCTTTGTTGAACAACTCAAGGCAGCATTTTTCAATGTGTTCTATCTGTAGGAATGGGAAACAAGTAGTTATTAAAAGACTATAGTTACTTATGTGTACCATAATCTTAGGAAATAAATTACTACAATGTACAAGCACGGTAGAGAAAAAGATTGTCTTTGCACTAGGAGACCTAGACTCCTCCATAGAGAAAGCAACCATGAAGACAAATGTTTGGAATCGGGGAGACTTTGCCATATAAAAACAACAAATGAGTTTCCATACAGTCAGCATCTACCTCCGGACTTCCAACAGATACCCATTAATATGATTTGGTGGATCAGCACACATCCAAACTGTATCATTAATAATACTGATGCATGATATTTGGGAAACAATGACACAATCAGAAGCATTTCCCATGTGGACATTGGCATTAAGTTTTCTCCTATTCAGTCCCCATAAGTAATAGGCCAGGTCAGATTATGAACCTGGAGTATGTCCAGCCATCAAGGTAGCATCGATCAATTCTGATCATACTAGAAATGAATTCATTTTACCTGATATTGCATAGTATTTCCCCTCCTCCCTTGAATTCCCTTTTCTTATGGTATTTTAACTTTGCAGGGGGGGGGGGAACTCCTCTGAAATCAGCATACAGATATGAACTGGCTATATCAAGAATAAGAACGATGCTTTACAAGTAATAGTGAGTTGCAGAGATGAAAATACTGCTTTTTTGTTCCATATCCTGTTGCTTAGTGTAGTAAATTGTACTAAAGAAGGCCCACTGAATAAACAGAGATTTAATAATAATTGCTTCATAAGTTCCATTGATTCAAGTGGGCCCACTCTACGGGCCTGCCCAGACTGGATGTTTTGGGTGAGGGTGGATTGGGCTACAAAGGATCTGTTGAGGTGGGGCAGGGGGAGAAGTCATGTATCATTTGCCATATGCCTCAGTCTGAACAGCAAATTACCTCTTGTATGCCAATCAGATGTCAGTTAAATGCTTTCCCTGATCATCTGAGGAAGATCAGAGAAAGTTATATTTCTTTTTTTTAATCATTCCTCTCTCAGTGCTGTTCATTTTCTCCCTTCCCCTCTCTTTTTGTTCTTCCCCACTTCACAAATCCTCTCTCAGAATCTTCAGCTGCTATCTCCCATCTAAACAAGCTAAAGGATGCCCACCCTATTGCTGGGCCAGAAAGGTGAACAACAGCTCTTAAAGGGGAATGATAGATTGTTCAAAGTAGAAGTATTTACAGATGATTTTTTTCCCCAGTCAAAACCATGCCATTGAGCCATATACTAAATCAGCATGCCAGAGTGGAGAGGCCCTAACAATTTACTATGCTAAAAGAAATCACAATTAGAATAAGACCACTTCAATCAATGAAACCTACAGTTCTGACTGTATCCACTGATTCGGTGAACCAACTCCAGCTGATTTACAGTGGGGTCTTGACTTGAGAACTTAATCCGTATTGGAAGGCGGTTCTCAAGTCAAAAAGTTCTCAAGTCAAATCTGCATTTCCCATAGGAATGCATTGAAAACCATTTGATCCGTATCTGCTCTTTTCCGTCCATAGAAACTAATGGGAAGCTGCTATTCCGCCTTCGACCACTAGAGGGGGATATTTTGTTTCTTTTTTTCTTAGGTCAAGAAAGGTTCAGGGAAGGCAGGGAAAATACAGTCCAGGCAGTACCAGGCAGTCCGAAGACTGTCTCCCAATCCACTCTCTAAACGCTGGGAGGAGTGAGGAAGCAGACAGGCACCCTTTTCACTGGCCAACAGTTAACTGAAAGTTCACTTTTTGCACTTTCCCTGCCTCTCACGTGGGTTTTTGTCAGTTCTTAACTCAAATCTAAGTATGTAAGTCAAGTCAATATTTTCCTATGAGAGGGGTTCTTAAGTCAAAATGTTCTTAACTCAAGCCGTTCTTAAGTCAAGACCCCACTGTACTGCAATAAGCAACAGGATTTTGGCCATTCTTTAAAAAAATTATTTGTTAACCAAGAGCACATTATGCTTTCAGTGATAGACCAGCAGCCACCCAACGGCATCAATAACAATTCTGACGCTACAAAAATGTACACTGCATAAAACGTGAGAGACTTTTAAGGTGTCACAACTTTTTTTGCATTGTGGAAATCAGTTCAAAATACTACAACCGAAAATGCTTTTCAGGTTTTCACTGAGGGGATCTTTGGTCCAACTCCCTCCCTTCCTCTGACAGTTTAAGCCCGAGAAAGGATCTACACCTGTTGAGATGCACCTGCCATGCCGCTATCAAAACAAGCTACTGCGGTGGCGGGGAGGGGGGGAGGGAATGCAGCAGCCCTGATCGTTGATCTCTGGGGTGTGTGTGTGAAGATGAGCCCCCTTCCACCCCGACTTACCTTGGCGTTACTGCCCGTCCCTACACCGCCGCTTCCACCTATGCCTATCCCGCTGCTCCACTTGTTTCCCCAGCCGCTCCACCGCTTTCCCCATCCCGACCTCCTTCCGCTTCCGGGAAAACCGAGCGATGTCGTCATCACCGGGCGACGCAATTCTGCCTCCCCCCCACCGCCTCCTCACCCGGCCCACCCTTCTGGACAACCCCCCCCTCAACGAGCCTTAAAAGAACACCCGACTAGTCTAACCCCGCCCTCGTCCCGGAAGGAGAAGCGAGCAAAGCGGGGGGCGGGGCCAAGCTTTTCGGGGGGGGCGTGCCCGAGGGCGGGGCTTTTCCCGCTGGGGGTTGGGAGTAGAGACGGCTTTTTCTTTGCGGTACTCGTAGTAGACGGACGTGTAAAACGGATAATCAGGACTTAATCATAACAGCCTTACAACTACAAGGGACCATCAAGTCCAGCCCCTGTTAAGGAAGGGCCATGGGAGATTCGAACTCCCAACCTTTGGCTCTAAAGTCGGAGACCTAAACCTCTCTGAGCTATCGAGACTTGCTTTTCTCTTTCTCTGGCTTCCTCTGTAGGGAGCTCTATAACCCCCCCCCACGCCCCAACCTCAGGTGTGACATTTTTTTAAAAATTTGCTTTCTTGGACCGCAACTCCTTGCAATCCGATATGTGGATTGGAGATAGTGGGAGTTGGTGGTTTAGGTATCTGGCTGTGGAGCCAGAGGTCTGGAGTTCAGTTCCCCATTGTGCCTCCTGGGGGAAGCCCAATTTTTTTAAAAAAAATGACAGCAGCATAACCTTTTGTTGACTTTTTTTCCTCTTTAACAGCAGAAAGCAAAAACCTGGTAATGATACCTGCACATTAAGCTCCTGAAGGCAAAGTTGCAGCGACCTGTTCTAAAGTTATTAACTCTAAACAGGGACACGGTGGAAGGGTATACTGACCTCTGGATTATATTCCAGCTTTACTGTTTTTCTGATTTGGGGACAGAACAGGACAAGGGAGCTTGACCATGCCTGTGTTTGTACAGCAAGGAGCAAAAACAGATTTTGCAGAGCCCCGAGTCCAGCACTGTGGGTCACAAGCTGTGAAGCGCTGGTGCTACAGAATGGGAGGGAAAAGCCCTCCAGATGCAGTTGGACCACCTGAGCCTGGCTGCACATTATTTGAAACAGGAGGTCTCTTAGTATTCTCTGCCTCCCCCTAGGAAGGTAACCCTGCAAAAACCTGAGCTCAAGGAAGATGTAAAAAGAAGAATGAAAGAATGAATAAGCACAGTGCGTGGGGGGGGGCGCTGGCTCAGGAATGCTGGGAGTTGTAGTCCCAAAAAGGTAACGTTTCCAAGTTCTGAGCAAGGTGCTGCCATTGGACTGTACAGTGATGCCTTGCAAGACGAATGCCTCGCGCAACAAAAAACTCACAGGATGAAAGCGCTTTGCGATTTTTTTTGGTGACCCGCAAGACAAATTTTTTTTCTATGGTCGTGCTTCGCAAGACAAATAGGAACGCATTAATTAAATTTCAATGCATTCCTATGGGAAACCGTGCTTCGCAAGATGACATTTTCGCAATACGAAACTACTCACAGAACGAATTTTTTTCATCTTGCGAGACATCACTGTACAATCTTCCCATTACCACTGGCTGTGCTAGGAGGGAAGTGGACTCCAAAAACGTCTGAAGGGTCACAGGTCCCCTATCCCGGAAACATGGCCTCTTGGTCCTTTAACCCAGTGTTAGTTTATACCAAAGGCACTATGCTGGTCTCAGGTGGCCAGCAAAGAGACCGTCTCTGTCCTGATCTCCCAAATCCAGCCTGGTGTTGAAGCTGCTTTAAGGGCTTCCCCCCCTCCCTCACACACACACACACTGCAGTCAGCTTTTTTCACCTGGCATGGTGGAGCAGCTGCTTTCTCAGCCTCCTGACAAGTCCAGCTGTTTCTCGTCTTTGCTACATGCTGGAGTGCTATCCAGTGGCAAGAAGATTTCACAGAAGGTCCCAGGGGGAGGTAGCATGAGACAAACCATTTTGTCAGGCTTTTTCACGCCTCGTCACACTTCTGTTCCTGCAAGTGGCCCTGGTCCTCAGCAAGTCAGGAACTGATCCAAAGTCAACTGCAGCCAGCTCTTGTGTGGTGGCAGATAAGGGATCTCTGGTGGGACGCTGAAAAAAAAAACCTCTTGGGTCTCCTCCCCATTTGTTCCAAAAGCAGCACAAAGCAGGAGGCTGTAGGGAGGGCTGTGAGTGGCTGTCCAGATGCTGCTTGACTAAAATGATCATCTTTTATTGTGGGGTATACTGGCCAAGGCTGATGAGAATTGCAATCCAATGATGTCCGGCTGGCTATGTGTTCCTACCACCATTGTAGATTCTGTGCATTCAGATCTCTCTCTAAGTGGGTTCATTCTGCTTTTACATTTAGAATAAATAATATTATTTAAATAGGACCATTTCCTCCTCTACTGGATAACGAGTGTGGTGCAGTGGATGTTGTGACCGATTAGGATTCAGGAGACCTGGGCTGAAAATCCCTGTGAGACCATTGAAACGCCCTGGAGGAGTAGAACTGATGAAACCATTCCTTAAATATTTCAAAGTGAAACCTCTACTGAGGTTGCTATAAGTTGGTTCTGACTTAAACACATTTCTCCCTCAGAAGGCTGAAACTGAGGACTTTCATCCCACACAACCTCACAGGATATATTTTTTACTCAGATTGGTGGGGCATGGCAGGCCTCAGAAGCTAAAGGCCAAATCTGCTCCTCCAAGACTTTCCTTCCTGAAAGAACCAACCTAGATTTATTTAAATGCGGCCGGAGACTTTACTTGCAGATCAGAGTAGAGAAGGGTGGGCCAGGAGGTCCTTCACCAATTTTGGGCCTCACTAGCCATTATCCCTAGCAAGCATACCCTACGCTGAGGGATGATACATGAAGTAGTCCAACAATATCTGGATGGCCACAAGTTGTCCACCCTGGTTTAGAGGCTGGGGCACTGCCCCTCATCACTTCCTTCTCAAAAGAATAGTAGAGGTTGATGTTGGGAACAGAGGGAAGGGAAGCTGGTTTTACATGTGGCCTGGTGGTGCAAGAGGTGGATTGCAACAGGAGAACAGGAACTATTACTATGCAGATAAGGGTTTTTTTAAAGATAGGGTTAATTAACCAGTGGGAACACACAGGGAGTGCACCCTACCTCTAAGCTAGCAAATGATGGTTCCAATTTGGTTGGTTTTGGGTTACAGCCACCAGGTGGTGCTAGAGCTCTGCCTTCAACTCGCTCTGTCCTCACCCCAGTTGTAGAAAAACGGAGGTGACCAAATCTTGATTTACTGCTTGGTGTAACATAATGCAGCTCAATAAATGGTATTGAGTCCACAGGCATCCATAAAACTCCAGTTATGTGAAAGGCAGAAAAGCATACAAACTGAGCCGGGAAATTCCTTGGTTCTGACCTACAGAGCCGTCCTCCCCACCACCACCATATTCTGTTGTATTTAGTTGGCCATCTTCTGCAACATGGGGAAAGCAAGACGGGCCTGCTCTGCCAGGTTGTTCTTAAGGCCATTGAGGTGATTTATGTGAAATGCCCTAGATCCTCTAAATGTACTATTGAAATGCTAAATTGTCCCACTATGACTACAACTGTTCCTGACTAGAAGGCGAACATTTGTGTTTATAGAATGGTATTGCCCTCTTACTATTTTGAGCTAACCGCCCCCAACCGGGTATTCTGTACAAGTTTCAACATTCCTGACTATTCGTGGCTGTGAGAGGATCAGATGGGCACTGAAATCCAAAACAGGCTGGGAAGACAGCTTACAGAGGACACCCAATGATGATTTTAGCCATCTCCTCCCTCAACTTGCTTGTGAAGGTTGGCGATCCTTCAGAGACGCTTGGGCCTGGGGCACAGAGGGCTGGCTGTATTCCAAAGAGCACCCCTTGAGGAGATTAATAGCATTTTACACTGCTGCCTTGCACAAACCCAGCCTGTACTAGAAGCAGCTATAAGGCAACTGTAATTCATCCATCTATAGTTGTTGTTGTTGTTGTTGTTGTTGTTGTTGTTGTTGTTGTATGCCCTCGAGTTGCTTCTGATTTAGGGTGACCCTCTGAATGAGCCATCTCCAAAATGTCCTGTCCTCCTGGCTCCTGTAAACTCAAGTCTATGGTTTCTTTTAGAGAGTCAGTCCACCCTGTATTTAGTCTTCCTCATTTCATGCACTTTCCACCTTCACCAGCATTATTGTCTTTTCCAGTGAATCCTGCTTTCTCATGATGAAAGGAGGGACAGCTTCAATTTCAACATTTTTTGCCTCCAGAGAGATTGATTTGCTCTAGAACCCACTTCTTTGCCTTTCTCATCATCTAGGTATCTGCAAAGCTCTCCTTCAGCACCACATTTCAAACAAATCCTCCCCCCCCCACTTGTCAGCTTTCTGAACTGTCCAGCTTTCATACCCATATATGGTGGTTGGAAATACAGTAGAAGGGTGTGGATGATCTTGGTTTGCGGTGACACATCCTTACACTTGAGAAACTTTTCCAGTTCCTTCACTGCTGACCTTCCTAGTCCCAGTTTTCTTCTGATTTCTTGGCAGTAGTCGCTTTAGGATTTATGAGAGAAACTGCTGACCTTCCTAGTCCCAGTTTTCTTTTCTGATTTCTTGGCAGTAGTCGCATTAGGATTTATGAAAGGCCAAGGTCTATAACATCTCTCTCAACTATTTCTGGATGATAGCTTTTAAGCAGTGGGAAATATGTTTTAGCTGCACAGGCTTGCTTTTCGTTTACCTTGGTTCACACAGTCCCCCAGTGAAACCGGTTTTGAAGGTTTCAAAAACGCTATCAAAACCTCCCTCACCTACTGACAAGAATTGACGGAGTTGTTGCGCATACATGCCATGGGGTTAAGGCTGCTGTTTCTCTGATGCCAGGCACCAGGATCATACCTAAAAGGTCTTAGAGAAGGAAATGCTGACGGTAGGGGAGGATGAGGAGATTATCCTGCTTGTGTCTGACTCACGCAAGCAGGAGGAGGGGCCGAAGCAGGTGACCAAGGACCACAGGGAAGGGAAGCACCGCAGAGCAAAGATGCAGGCGAAAGGCGCCGCCCACATGCTCTTCTTTTACCGCAGCCTGTGGATCCCCCCCCCCGCACCCCCTTTGCCTGCAGGGTCTAGCTTTTTTATCCAGCCAAAGTGGGGAAACCAGACCCCCCCCGCGCCCCAAGGCGTAAGGGGATTGGCTGCCGAGCACCCCTCGCTCCGGGCGGCGATTGGTTCAGAAGGGCAGGAGGAATAATCATTCGGCCGCTCCTGTTCCAATGGTAACGCGGACCGGCCAGACTTTTTTTTTTTTGCTCAGGGGGTAGGAAGACACGC